AGAGTAGTCTAAAGAATTCCTTAACCCTGAAGAATTTCACGATGACTCGTCTGAGGATCAGGAGGCAACGGATATTAGTCTTTGGATGAAGTCAGAGAAGCGGCAAAAGGCTTGAAAGTGGCATGGATAGTGGAATAGATGGGTTCACTCTGAAATGCTTAAGGCCATAAACGAACAAGAATATCTGGAAAGGAGATACAGGAGAATAACTGGCTCTATAATGCAAGAGGCTCTTGCCAGATCTTCACCTTAACTCCAGATCATAGAGAAATCACGAGAGTTAGCTCATGATGCGGTCTACATGTGCCTTATTGATCTGAGGAAAGTCTATGATCGGATACTACAAACATATCGGATTGATGGCCAGTTGTTACGAGGCATCGATTCGTTACATGTTCGTAGCTGGTGGTGCGTTCGAGTAAATAGCGTAAAATCGAGATCTTTACACGTCGGTTCGTTCGTGTCATCGCCATGGCGGTGTTCTGCCCCCCTCTTCTGTTTGCGCTGTACATAGAGAGGATAATCAAGAGCAGCGAGGGCGACACGTGTACCAGAATATGAGATGGGGGATGCGGAGAGCAGCATTTGAGTTTAGCGGACGACTTTGTTTTGTTGGTATTATATTAAACTGTGTTCAGTGCTAGCCCAAACCGCCATGACAAGAGTAGAGCTGAGTCGGATCACTGAACCGTCTGTATTCAAAGCGATCTTCATCCCATGTTAACCTATTTTCATGAATCATGGGCCATGCTGAATAACTTCGTTCTTGTGTACAGGCGGCTGAAATAAGATTTATGAGACGACTTTCTGCACTGTCGCGTTTGGACATGATCCGGAGTTCAAATATCCAAAAGAGCTTTGGTTTACAGCTGCTGCTTTTTTCGATTGAAAAGTCACAGCAGCGACTGTTTAGACACACGTCTTACGAATGCTTCCCGAAAGGAAGACGAACTGGATACTGATTTCAAATGTGAACGGCCGAAAATTCCCCGGGATGACCATGAATAAGGTGAAGATTGGGCTTTTGTAGTGTTCTGCCAATGTTCAAACTCTGGCAGAGAATCGGGAACGTTGGAGACGCCAGTGTCGTACAAAAGAATAGGGGGTCATCGAAAGCGAATGACTGACTGACGAGAAATGTTTTCCTGTCCCCATTAGTCGCCCTAGAACTATCGTGACAGTCGTTTGTCGCATTCTTGTTTCATCCACCGATCTTCCATTGTCAGGAGTTCCTTGTTAGTTTTCCTTTCCTCACGCTGCTTCTAGAGCTCCTCGGCCACTCTGGCGTATAGTCGCTTGTTTCGCTTTTACGGAATGGTACTGCCTAGTCTATTCCGGAAGGATAAGGTGAAGGTTACTCTCTACATACTCAATTTGATTCTCCAGCCACTGAGATCATTTGATATTCAGAAAGGATATTAAGCACCGATAAGATATTGTAACAAAGCGGTGTTTCTCCATACGATCAAAAAGGAAAATCGTTGAAACGCCGCCGGAGAAAAAACACCTGGTAGTGGAGGCAAAGTGAATGTCTTGTCATCTGCAAATCATTCACTAGTTCGAAACGTGATCATACTCTGCACAGATGAAAACAGTCGTTTACGGATGGGCCATGATCACTGTTTTTCCTACTGTTTCACTTGGACGAATATGTTCGAAAATTCTTCGGTCATGGACAAAATTATGAATTACAATCTATTATAACTTTCCATTGCTATTTGTACGTTTGTTCTGATTTAAATGCGTGTTTGGTGTACATTTGCGCAGGTTCTGTTTAGTGGATTTGATTTCGGACTTTCAACTGTTCGATTATGACCACGGATGGCTGCCTTTAACCTGAACGGAAGGTCCGCATGGCAGGAATGTAAATATGTCTTTGGACATGTTAGTGTATATTTTGGTATAGATTGTGTGTCTGAATAAAGCGTTATAATACAGTGACAGTATTTCGATAAACTGAACATCAGACTTCGTCAGTTTCAGGGAAACCTGCTGATTAATTGGCATGCAGAGATCAACCGAAATTAAGGTTATTACGTTATTGCAAATTAAACATCGCAAAGTTGCAATATGCGATATGAAATCGCAGATTGGCAGGTTCGCCATATGGTCCACTAGTGTTTGAGCGATAGCATCAGATGGTTCGTAAGTTTGCAGCGCCAGACGTCAGCTAGAACCGATAACGATCAACGAAGTTCAACGTTTGTCTTGTTTACATTTAACGTGAAGCTTGTGATGGAGGTGTCCCGTGTGATCTAGTGGTTATAATTCACATATCTCACCCTCAGGCTTGGACTCGATTCTCCACCATGGAAAATTCTTCATAATTGGACCGCATAGCATTCGTTTTGTCCTGTGGTGCTGTCAGAGAGCGAGAGGGCCGGATGGAGGCACAGTGACTGATGCACGTGTCTCAGGGCGACATAATCCGACCTGATCCTCCTAATGGCTCATTACACATAGTAATGCTCAGCACCGGCATCGGGAAGGGCCTACTGTCACTGACCATCCGTCCTCCGGTGTAAGGTAGGCGACGCGTCACGCGACGCCTCGCAGCAGCCTAAGAACAAGTGACGGAAACACAATTTACCTGGTGAAGGATAAGCGACGGTGGTAGCGACGCGGGAATTCATGGCCACGTGACTGCGGCACGGAAAAACGCAGGTGTCAGCAAAAGTCGACGACCACAGGTCACAGTCCAGGTATACGCCGACGAAGGTCCAAAGTCCCCCGGGTGGTACACTGTGTTCTCGGGCGATGACAGAAAGCAGACCGGCTGGCCTGTGGCGGCAGACTACGGTGACGTCGACGACCAGTATTGCGAGCGGCAAAAACTGCCGCGTAAATAGGAAT